TCGTAACAGAGATGAGAGTTCAAGACTGAGAACAAGTAATGGAGAATGACCTCCATCCCTTGCTTCTGTGGGGGGACGGCAAACATGTCCCTGAAAATAAATGAGTAGTAGTGGTATGATCAGTAATCATGAACTGTGCAGGTGGTAATTTTGAAGGGAGAAAATTTTGACAAATTTTGGTCCTTTCACTAAAATAAAGCCCACCATTTGAACCATTATGTACACATGCTTAATCATCCATGGCTACAAAATTGCATCATTAAAACCTGCCATTTATTAAAAAACTAACAATTCTTTATCCCCATCCAAAATCACTAGCTACTACAGTATTTAGTTAGAATTCAAATTACTATTCTCTCTCACTTGTTAAACTGTATCTTATATTTCTTTTCTGAAGCAACAGGGTTGAATCCCAGCAGTAGCATGTTAGTAAACCATATCTCTCTCATATTAAGGACAGGCCCGGGCCCTTCTTCAACAGTTAAACCCGAGGTTAAGCCGGTAGAAGATAAAACATTAACAAAACTGGGATCACCATTACCCGCCATGACTATGACACTGATACAATGCAATGGGTGTGGTCACAATGATATAAAATGGCGGAATTGGCAGCTATCAGTATCAGCAAGTTGAAGCAAAATGTCAGCAAGATATGATTAAACTGCAGTCCAAAGACTTCTCTAGCAGCGAGGAAGAAGGCTGGAAAAGTGAATATATATGATTATTGAAAGCAATTTGCTTTAACCAAGGGAGTGAGGGGACTAAACTAACTGAGTGACCTAATAAAGGGGACTAAGGACCACTTGAGTCCTTTGGTTATGCAGTGTCTGGCAAGGAAAGTTATGTACTGTACAGTCTTTTTCAAATTATGATTTGTTCAGTGACTGCTTCTAACTATCTTTATAAGCAAGATAATTGCTGCAGAGTCCTAAAGTGATGGAGAAAATTCATCATTTAAGCAGACATGTACAATTGGCTAACTCATACATGTAGATCATACTATGCCTGCTTGCTTAGCATGTGCTCTCCCCCGTACATTCTTATTAGATACAATTAGAACAGAAAAATTTAATAATTTATTAGATACAATAAACACTGTTGTTGTTATTTGTTTGATAATTTGATTGCAAGAGATACCCAGCTGTGTTTGTGCAACTTACAGGGGAATTCCTAGGGAATATCCCCAATTAGATCTATATACTGATATTACTCTTGCTCTAACTGCATAATACGGTATTATAGTTGTCAAGCTGTGAGGAAACAAAAAAGCGTGCCATAGACTTGGTGAATTGTGATGGCAGGAGATCTAAACTTTGTGATAATTAAAGGTAGCTCTTTAGCCTAGCTAAACTGAGTTCATTGAGTATAATTATTAGGTTTGATTGATCAAGTTG